GTTGGCAGAAACGGTGCAAAGTTCCTGACCGCCAGTGTGCACCAGGATCTCTACTGGAGTTTGCAACTGATATGAACCAAGGAGCATCAGAGGCACTATGAAGAAAAGAGAAAAACATGAAGGAAGTGTGGAGAATAAAGTCCAAATGTTAAAAAAGGTTGATAGTTGAGTGTGTAAAGTATAGTTCAAGACAGCAAACGCTGTATTCTCCTGAATCCAACTGAATTTTTTATTATCATTAATAATAATATTTATGTATAGGTTAACAGGAAAAATTATTAATAAAATGTTTTCCTGTTTGAGAATTTTATTGAGTAGAAATTAAAGGCCAATTAATCGAGAAACCATTTTTTACTTTTTTTTAATATAAATAATTGGTCATGCTAAGATTAACATACAGGCTAAACATGTCTTCTACCTCTATTTCCTGGATTAGCCTCGATTAAAAAAAAAATAGACAGGAAAACTCTTGGATTGCAAAAGCCAGTCAATCACATGTCAGATTGCTAAATTAGCACTCATGGACTCACCCATTTTGGCTCCTGATGAGGAACGCTGTGTTGATGTAGCATCCAGGAGTGAGAGAGCAGAGCGCATCTCGGCTAGTAGAAGCTAACTGTTAGCATTAGCAACTCCACAACATGAAAAAACTCCTTCAGGCTTGTGTTATTTGTGGAGATAAAACATCAACAATGCAAAGCAGAGTCAGTGGTAGAGTCGTGTTGCTGTTAGCCAATTAGAGGCGAGATGTGAGAATATCAGGAACTTCAAATCCTGCCATTTTCTGCTCCCCTCTGCTCTGGATCACTTCTGACTTCTGAAACAGGAGCGCCAGAGCTTTTTTTTCCCCACAGATATTGACTCACAAAAGTAAAGTGCATCATAAAAACAAGTGAACTCTGTGTTTAAGGAAGTTCTTATCAGTACTCTAGAAGTAGCCAAAAGACCGAGCCAAGTGTTCAAGGTAGGGCTAAGAAGATAATCAATTAATCGTACGATAGATGAAAATAAACTCAATAATTTTTTCCAGCCTCAGTATATCGAGGTTAAAAAAATGTACAACTCTATTATTAATATTTATCATTATTGAAATGCAGTTTTGTTTTCTGACACTGGATAGGCAGTTGTATTTATTGAATTGGAGACACAGGATCTATTTTATTTTTGGTGCAAAGTTTTCTAACATAAAGTGAGAGTCCTTTTTTAATTAAGTAATTTATTTTTTATTTATTTAGAAGTTCTGGTTTGTGGCATTCCAATGTTAAATAAATGTTAAATTGTTGCATTTTAAAGGGTGTACTTGCATTATTATGATATATTAGCATTACATAAGTGGTTACTTTGGTCTTGATAATGTAGACAATTATATCGTTTATCATCAATAATTTGTTGGAAAATATATCATCCAGCAAAAGTTGTTACCGTCCCAGGCCTAGTTCAAGGGTTAATGCAGTTAATCACAGTGATGCAGGGGACTGTGCTGTTCTGGTCCTGCAGGACCTGACTGCAGCCTTTGACACTGTTGACCATCACCTGCTACTGGAGAGGCTGAGAGACTGGGTAGGCCTATCAGGATCTGCTCTGGAGTGGTTCTCCTCTTATATTTCTGAGCGCTCCTTTTCTGTGGCCATCTCCAAGTTTAGGTCCTCCACCACCTCCCTTACCCATGGTGTCCCACAAGGTTCTGTGCTGAGGCCTCTGCTCTTCCTCTATCTGCTTCCTCTTCAGCACATCCTGAGCTCCTTCAAAGGAATCTCCTACCATCTTTATGCAGATGACATCCAACTGTACATCTCCTTTAAGCCCCATGAGATGTCTAAGCAGCAGCTGTTACACACCTGCTTAGACTCTATCAAAACCTGGATGGCTGGGAGATTTCTACAGCTGAATGAAGATAAGACTGAGATCCTCATCTGTGCCCCAGACAAGCTGGTTCCCAAAGTCAGAGACTCTCTTGGTCAGTTTGCTTCCCACACCAAACCTTCTTTCAAGAATCTTGGTGTGACCTTTGACCCAGCTCTCACCCTGGATTCTCAAGACAGTTCTCTTGTTTGCTCTTCCTTCTTCCATCTCAGGAACCTTGCTAAGCTGAGTCCCATTCTGTCCCGCTCTGAACTTGAGACAGTTCTCCACACCTTCATCTCCTCACGCTTAGACTACTGTAACTCTCTTTTCACGTGTCTGAGTAGTACCTCCCTGAACCGTCTACAGGTGGTTCAGAATGCCTGTGCTCGGCTTCTGACCAAGTCCTCCAAATACACCCACATCATCCCGCTTCTTCTTCAGCTTCACTGGCTGCCAGTCAACTTCAGGGTTCATTTCAAGATCCTGGTTCTGGTCTATAGGGCCTTACATGGACAAGCACCATCTTACACTGGTGATCTTCTTAGTACCTACACCCCCAGCAGGTCCCTGAGGTCCAGTGACCAAAGCCTACTGGTTGTGCAGCACCAGGCTAAAGACCAAAGGTGACAGATCATTTGCTGCTGTGGCCTCCAGACTCTGGACCTCTCTCCGCCTGAGATCAGTGGACTCAGTGGTCTCCTTTAAAAAGCAGCTGAAGACTCATTTGTTCAGGCTGACTTTTGTATGACCTTCTTCACCCTCTCCTTATTTTGCTCTGCCTACCTATTTCACCTTCTTCAGGATCCACTGATTTCCCTCTTTCCTATTCACTCTCTCTCTCTTTCTTAACATTTTTGTTTTTGTGAAGCGCCTCGTGATTTTTATCTTGAGAGGCGCTATAAAAATTATATTTTCTTCTTCTCTTCTAATCTTAAAATAACTTCTCTAAATGTTATCATTGATCATCAGGATTTGGACTTTTATCTCCACATTTAAACTTTTTATGGACACATTCTTCCTAGTGTCCCTCAGAGTGCAACAAATAATGTTAGTAATATCTTGGCTCGAACTAGCCATTAGCTCATTAGTCCCGTAAATTGTTAAAAGCTATTTCTCTGAATGGAGGCTGCTCATGGAGAATCTACATTGAGTAAGATAATTTACTCAGAAACACCTATCAGAATTACAGAAATGTCTTCGGTCTTCATCATTAACATTTGAAGGAGACGCATAAAGCCTTGCTTTTTATTATTTTACTGTGGAGCTCTGCCGGAGAGCTGGTGAATTGTGTCATCAAATACCAGAGAGATGAGACAGCTCACATCAGCAGCTGGTCACATTTTTAGCTCACACTCACTCCTGCAGGAGGAGCAGAAGTGTGACATAATGTGATCAGAACCGTTTTTGTTTGGATTAAAGAGGTCACATTTTAAGCTAAAATAAGGAAATAATACATCTGCTGGCTGTTTAGACTGATTCAGGATGTCTTCTCTAGTCCGTGTTCAGTCTGTTGATTGACTGAATGATGTTGTTCTTTTCAGAGGATTTCTGGACGTTTATTTGAGCTATAATGAAGATTTTTTCACCTCAGTAAACAAAAGTCTTTTGGGAAAAGCAGCATCTTAATTCATAATGTGATGAGAATTCAGCTGGTTTATTAGGAGACGGACTCAAATCCCCACAGTGGTTTTATCGTCATTTCTTCTTTTAGTAATCTGAGGTTTTATATTCCCATCTTTCTCAAAGGAAATGTACAACATAGATTTTCTAATTTAACAAATCATTTTTTATTTCTGTTTAGGAAATCCAGAATTGCCAATCTCAGTTTTTATGATCTAATACAAACTGAAGTCATTTTAAGGTTGAAATAGGTGAAATCTTTTAATTTCTTTTTGTAATTTGTAACCTGTTAACATTCAGAATACATTATTGTTAATGACCCAGCTTCTATAACATGATATTTCAGCTCCACGCCTTGTAAAAGTGACTGAGTTGGAGCCATTTTTGTGCTCATTTGAGGTCACGAGGAAGCCGATTCCATCTGTGAGCAGCATAGTAGCTAAAAGCAGCTTCATCCTGTTTGGTTCTGAACACACACGAGATCCAACATGTATTCTGGCCCCATGCCATTGAGTGATTTATAAACTAGTAGTAGCACTTTGGAGTTTATTCTTTAGTTTACTGGTAACCAGTGTAGAGATTTAAGAACGGGAGTGATGTGCTTGGTTCTCTTGGTTCTTGTTAAGACTCTAGCAGCAGCATTCTGAACAATCTGCAGTTGCTTCACAGTGAAAAGACCATTGCAATAGTCTAGCCTGCTGGAGATGAACACATGAATGAGTTATGTCTAATTTATGCTTCTCCGTCAGCTCCACGGGGGAGAGACACGCACGCACACACGGAGACAATTTGCCCTCCTATTTCTCCGTCTCCTGGGGAGGGTTGCAAAGCTATTCCCTGCCAGGACAACAGAGGGCGTAGCGTTGTTCTGGGGTATCCGGTCCAAGAAAGTGTGTATTGTGTTTTTTGCATTTCAGAGACTTTTTAACAGCTCCTTTATGTCACGGTTTGGACCCATTTGGTGACAAAGCCGTTAAACACCCACCTCCGCTCTGCCTGGACCGCGGAAGGGCAGCTTCTGGGAGTTTTTTTCCTGGATGACATTACAGCTCAAACTTTTCCTGCCATCCTGGAGCGGGATTGGCCGAGACAGGGATAGTGGAGACGGTCATGGGGTCAACGCCTAGCTCCTATTGTCTTTGTGGAGCCGAGCTGGACCCATACCGGATGAGCCGTTCACTTCCTTAGAACACCCCCCCCCACACACACACACACACACACACCCGCTCCACAAATCCTCCTAAGGCCTTCCATCACAGACCCCTCTTCCTTCCTGGGGAGCAGCAGGAATCACGTGAGCAGGGCAGCAGCTGGAGTTTACAGTCGGGAGCACAGAACACAACACAGCAGCATGCAGCAGCCACCTGCATGTTCACCCTGGGCTTTATCGTCATGGTAAACGATTCACAGGAGCTCTCCGTCATCTTTGTGCCGCTTGTTCTGCCTGAACAGACGGAGCCCATGCTGGAGGTAGTTTCTTATTCCTCTGCGATGCTCACAGCTTTTCGTTCTAACCTTTCTGTTTTCTCCTCCAGGAGGTGCGAACCGAACTGAGGCCACGTCTGTGCGTGATCCGGCGAGGTTCCAACGGATATGGCTTCAACCTGCACAGCGAGCGCGCGCGGCCAGGCCAGTACATCAGAGCTGTGGATGAAGACTCTCCGGCTGAGAGGGCAAGCCTGCAGCCCAAGGACAGGATAGTAGAGGTACCTTTAGGCCACAGTAAAGCATCAGATCACCTGACAGGTTCTGCTTGAACAGCTGTGATGTCATGAGAAAGAGTGGGCCAAAAACAATCCTGCAGGCGGATCCTGGTTGGTCTCACTCACTTCCGCTTCAGCGTAGTCTTTTTTATTTTTTTCTTAGATAAAAATAGAGAAGAATGGTGTGGGATGCAATCAGGCCACACCTAGAGCTAAGTTAGGGAGGGAACGTCTGATTTAATGAAATGTTGAGGAGTAATGGAAAAGATCAGAAGTTGTTAAGCAGGTTTCTGTGGAAAGAAACTAAACTAGTAACGTCGTTCCCGTAGATAGGCTATCTATACGAATGACCTCAGCAGGCATGCACCGATACCACTACAGTTACTTCAGTTGTGTCGATGAGGTATTTCACATTAAAAAACCTCCACTGACGTGGCTGACATGTTTATGAATATGCACACACACACACACACACACACACACACACACACACACACACACACACACACACACACACACACACACACACACACACACACACACACACACACACACACACACACACACACACACACACACACACACACACACACACACACACACACACACACACACACACACACACACACACACACACACACACACACACACACACACACACACACACACACACACACACACACACGATACTGGACAGATACCTGATGTCTATCAGTGACAGGCTAGACAAGCCGCTGCACAACTCCAGTCTCTGGTATTTGTCTATTTAAATAACAAGAAAATAAACTATACATAAAAACAGTGGTGTGGAAAAACTATTTCCATCTTTTGCATGTTTGTCACACAAAATGTTTCTGATCATCAAACACGTTTAAACATTAGTCAAAGATAACACAAGTAAACACAAAATGCAGTTTTGAAATGGTTTTTATTATTTAGGGAGAGAACAAAATCCAAACCTACGTTGCCCTGTGTAGTTGCTGCCTCGCAGTTAAACGGTCAGAGGTTCAAATCCCATATGTTTTCCCCATGCGTGTGTGGTTTACTCCCAAAAACACGAATGTTGGGTTAGTTGGAGATTCTAAACTGTCTCTATGTCTTATGTGTCCCTGTGATGGACTGGGGACCGGTCCAGGGTGTCCCTCACATCTTGCCTGATGATGGCTGGAGATGGACACCAGCTTCCCACGACCCTACAGGGGGATATGGTAAATGGTTTGTATTTGTATAGCACCTTCGAGGGTTCTACAACCCCCCAAGGTGCTTTACAACACATCCAGTCATTCACCCGTTCACACGCTGATGAGATACTTTGTAGTCACGGCTGCCCTGGGGCATTCTGACGGAAGAGAGGCTGCCTAACTCTAAAACAGGTGCTACCGATCCCTCCAACCTCCACCAGCAGGCAAGGAGGGTTAAGTGTCTTGCCCAAGGACCGCGGCAGCATGAGCAGGACTCAAATCCACAACCTTCTGGTTACAAGGCAGGCCTTAATTCCTAGTTGTTTTAGGAGGACAGTGTTCTTGTTTTGTGAACTGACCGAGACTAGCTCACTCTGGTCAGAATTGTAAATTATGGCACTACATTGCTACCAAGTAACCTTTTCATATACTTTAATTATTTTCTTGAGCCAGTAGGAGCTAAAATGACCCTTTGCAGGTTGAATGAATGATCTCAGCCCCCTCTGCTCCTTGTGGGCAGGATACCGCGTTTGCAACTTGATCCTCTGCGGACCAATGACCTGAAGTTTCACAAAGTCACGTATCTCGAGAAATAGACAAACGAGTTATACCTGGATAGTATTTGTTGTGTCGTCTTCCTAGTGGCGAAGCCTCGAACAAATAAAACTTATCTGATGAAATGAGAGAAAAGAACGTCCGACATCGGGAGAGCTCAGAGACAAAGAACGTTTCAAACTGAGACCTCACAATTATGGTGTTGCCCAGTTTGCTTCTACAGCTGTGGTTTAAAACAGACACAAGGGGGTGTTAAAGCTAGCCAAAACCATCTAGTACCTTTGATTTTATTATTAGTGTAACATTACCTGTGGGTTTAGCTTGATAACAGTCCTGACCCATCTGACTTGCAAAATAAGTTCTACTTTTATCCACTGAAAAGACTAAAATTATTTAAAGAGCAAGTCACCCCCTATCAGAGTATTACTCGACTTCCACTTCCTGTTTGAAAAATGCAACAAATGCTGTTGCCTAGCAGACCAAGAGAGCAGAGCCGCTAACACACATAGACTCACAACATTGTGAAATCATAGTGACATCATATGGTACCAGCTAACGCTCTAGGGGACCTCTTAGCCAATAGCAATGGCGGATTTAAATTCAAATGCGGGGCAGAGTTTTTACCTGACAACACAACACTGACAGTTTTTGGCAGAAAATAAAAATTTTAACTCAAATGCACTAAAGTGCAAAACTGTCACGGTCAGACCTAGTGACGATCAGCCGGATCCAACAACAGCCAAACACAGAAAGTTTTAAAGAGTTTAAGGACTTGTTAAAGCAATCAGGACCAGCTGGAGTCAGTTTCGGGTGGCGTGGCCTGGGAGGGAGACGATTCAGATGTCTTAATCTGAAGAGTGACTGACCTTCTGAAAACAGCAGCGGTGTTCAGCGGTTAGGGATGCCGATGAAGGCGAGTACTCAGATTCAGGCTGGAACTGAGGCAATAGACGGGTTCCGTGGTCAGACAGACTGAGGTCGGGTAACAGGCAGGCAGAGGTCAGTAATAAGCAGGCAGAGACAGACAGACAGGTTCAAACGCTCAAAGGACTGTGACAGGGCAGCAGACGATGAGCAGCAGGAGCCAGGTGCTTAAATAGGGAGCAGCACAGGTGGAATTAATCAGCTAGATTACTGCTGCTGCAGGGAGACAGGAAAACACAGAGATCAGGGCATGATCATGACACAAAACAATTAACTACACGTGTCTGCAGCGTGATTAGACATGCATTTATATAGTTTATCAGAAATAAAAAGTAGAATTGGGGGTGACTTGCTCTTTAAACTTTGATTCTGATCTTGGTTCTGTGTCTTTTTTACTTTATTTTGTCATTTAAACCTATTTTTAATCATTTCTAAAATCTTTTTATACTTTAATATTTTTTTGTTTCGTTTTTGTGAAGCGCCTCGTGATTTTTATCTTGAGAGGCGCTATATAAACGATTTTTTTTCTTCTTCTTCTTTCATATCAAGAATGCAATTTTGTTTAGAGCACATGAATAAACCATGTTTCAGCTTTTCTCATACAAAACTTAACACAAACTATATGAAACAGAGACATTAAAGGTAGAAGTGTCTAGAAGTGGGTTTCCGTCCCCTGAGAGGGCCCCACGCCCCCCCCCACTGAGGAGCAGTGAGGAGCAGGGGCTTTAGAAGGAGCAGACAGCCATTGTTGCTGGCCAAGCAGCTATTGTCCAGCTTCCTCTGCAGGCCCAGCTTAGACGTGCATGTCCACCCTATGACCTAAACACTCACACAGTCTTTCAGACGTTTCTCACATGCTTTCCCATGGAGATTCTCATACCAGAAGACTCAGCTGATCCAGAGTTAAGGCGCGACCATGA